CCACGGAATATAAAATTAATAGTCAATTAGACTTAATGGAAACACAATATCGATGAGAGGAATATTGTTAAAATCGAGATCTTAAGTAAAATCGAAAGAGAATTAAAAATCGTAAAATGTAAAAGCGTAATGTAAAAAAAATCGTAAAAACGTAAAAGCGTTTGAAATATTAGTAAAATTATTTTGATAAAAAAAAAATTATAGTGATAAATCAAAATTTTAACAAGAATAGATGAGACTGCAATCGAATATAACTTTAATCAAATTTAACAGCCACAAAAATCAAAATCTCAATGTTTTGGAAAAAGATATCTAATATGCCACACTTTCGAACTTTTTCTTTTATTTGTTATATTTAAGTTCCGTGGACCCACTAACATCATCAAATGATGCGGGAATGGGACACGTGACAGGTAAGGGACTTCCTAATGTAGAGAAAAACTTCAATGTATCGTGATCACTGAACTCGGTGTTCCTTTTTATTAAAATGAATTTTTATTTGAATTTAAAGGAAAATAAAAAAATATGGGTAAAAAAAAAAATCTTTTTTTTTTTGTAAACAAAGAGGGGCACTTTTTTTAGTAGAAGGAAGCACCGAGTTCGGTAGTCCAAGTGCATTGAAGTTTTTCTCCCTAATACACTTACAATTGGTTTATAATAATTGTGCATATATATATGTATATTAATATTATTTTGGGATTTAAACGTATTGTTATTTTTTTTTATTTTTTCAATTTAGTTGTGTTTAATGTTGATTGATTCATAATAAGTTACAATTATTTTTATATTCTTTCTTTATTTTTAGAATTTTAAATTTTGAATTGATTTATAATTTGTCTATAAAAAGTTACTTAAGGTCTGTTATAGATTTGACAAAGGCCCACATTCTAGAAGGTCCAAAAATGGCTAACGGCTAAGAGGGAATCAAAGAATCTTTCCTTAATTATACTAATCATAGTACGGCAACAATGAATCAACAATTGGACCCCCAATATTTCTAAGAGACTCAAGAGACCACTCCTGCCAGGTAACCTATCTATAAATAAGGGATTAAGCCAATAAGGTATACACACATTCTAAACTCTTTCTTTCTTAGTTGTCATTATGCACACACCCCACACCTTGACTATGTCGTTTATTATTGTGCACAGTGATCTGCTTACCATTTAAGGTATCTCCTTCATAAATATCTGAGAGAGAACAGATAGATCCAAATAAACATACCAGCCAGTGGCTCGACATATTTGTCATCACGACAGAACAAGGTCCTTACTATATAGTCTGTAGGAGTTGAATATTTTATTATTTTGGTAAACTCTAAATGAGAACTTAGTGTTTCTTTTTTATCTATCTCAATTTTCTATTTAGCTACCTTTTGCTATGCCCTTTCGGTATCACTTCCTACACCTATTATGTATTAAAAGTGATCTACAAGTGAAGTTAACAAGTCTTAAATATGATTTTTTTTTTCAAAATGTGACATATATTTGTTGAAAATGTGTCACTTTAGTTTTTGTGCCAACTTAACATATATGAGAGTGGATCCTCTCATGTATTATTTAACATGATCAGTGGAAGGATCTTAAGTATATATGGGTGAATTAATAGTGATAAAAGAAAAAAGAAATTAATGGGATAAGAAACTATATAATCATTACCATTAATTTATTCATTAGTGATTAAAATCCTATTGAGAGCATTTCGAAACAATAAATAATGAGTAAAAGATAAAACCTAGCTATATATATAGCTCTTATTCTTTATGCTCTAGGCAGAGATCATGCTTTTGTCATCTGTAGATATGGAGGTTCTAAACTGAAGACTCATGGAGCATGAGGATTATTTTTATTCAGCAATGTGATCAATTTTGATGCTTTCCAGCCAATCATGTTGGGTATCATATAATTTTATCTAGGTAGAAAAGGGTCGCAAGTAAGAAGTCCACAACTACGACTCCATTATAATATATAGCTCAAATATAAAAATAAAAAATAAAAAAAAGGTTCCATATATGGTGAGACCAATGTTTGATACTTGTCTCTACCCTACAGGCCGAAGTCGCCGCACAGTAGTCATAAGATCCCTAAAGTCACGTTCTATTTTATGCATTAAGATTCACCATATTAACTGCAGATCTAGAGCTGATCTTCTCTAGCACATGGATATCCACATCGTCTTTGTTATATATATATACAGAACCAAACCATATTCTTATATCATCATTGCTTAATTATCTTATTATCTTCCATCAATCATCATCTTCTTTTTCTGTTTATATTTCATGGATATCGATCGATATATCCTTAACAATTCTAATCATCCAGTGAGTTAGTTGAAATCCACAAAAACAACACAATCCCGACAGATCTTTAATTCCAAACCCCTAAACGTTGTTACGCATGCATATATATATATACGTGGCAGAATTACTCTCATGAAAATACTGTACAAGCATATCCAATTGAATACATACATACATATTGTTGTCAAGAAAATTTATAACATCATAAAAGAGGAAGAAAATCTATAATAATTAAGACATCATTTATTGTTTTTTGCATTTCAATCATTAACATTGAATCCATAAGTTACATAGTATAAATACATGAAAAAATAAGTTAGCACGTACGTTTTCTTAATTTTGGTATTAACTTTTGTGTTTGCAGTTCAAAGAATCCAACCATGACTTCCCTTTAAAATAATTTCTACACATAATAATAAGGCTCAAAATATTGTTTCTTTAGAACAATATCCAAACGATTTTCACATGGCATCGATTTTTTTTATTTCCCCTTAAAGCACCCCGAAACTTGTATAAAATGATCATTATAAAATTATGTAATAGTCCAAATCATCATTATCGCATACAAATTACAATTAACAGAAAGTATAGCTGATATTGTAAGAAGTTTATACAAAACTAGTCTATAATATAAGCCATCCTTCGATAATAAATAATTCATTTTGAATTTAAAATTATAATTTTCCAAATTAAGTTCTAATATCCCCATTTTTAAATAGATAATCACATTACATTTGCATGTATTTTGATATAAAAAGAGAGTGAAAAAAAAGTATAAGGCATTTAGCATTAATCTTCACCTTTTAACAGATAGCATGTTTTGAGAAATCCTTCACCTTTTGTTGGAGTTATTATTTTTCCGTTTGTTGTGTATTCTTTAGTTAACATTCTTACTAACTTTTTCATGAGATACAATTTCTCCCATCTTCATGGAACATGGATGTACACAAATATTATACTTTGATTCTAGCTTTGAACTAGAAAGCTCTCACCAAAACACAATTTTATTTTTTATTTTTATTTACATTATTATATAAAATTTAAATATAAAAATGAGCCTTCTTAAAAAATTGATCTCGGTTTTCGATTTTGTGGCAAACCCTTCATCAATCAATTTTGATACTGGCCATCTTAAATTGTACCACAATGTCTAGGCATATGTGACAAAAAGAAAAAATCAAGGACTTTAGAATCTTAATTAATTGCAACCAAAGCAATGGTAACATAATTAAAATATGTATTAAGAGCTACGAGAGCAAATAGTCTCTGAGGGGTTAATTGGTTTATTATATTCCTTCAGCAGCTTGCTCAAAATTAAATCAAGATGTCTGGTTTGATTTTTGTTTTTATTTTTCATTAATAAGTACAAAATAAAATATCAAAACTCTTTTCACCATTTCATTGTGAAAGTAAGTTGTAATGTTCCTCTGTAAAATCAATATTATAGCTTAATTGCCTTATATTTTTCTATATATATAGTGCTACAAAAATTTAGGAAGTGAACAAGTAAGCGACTAATTAAAACAAGGCGCAACCGAATAAGTTATGGCTACAAATACGAAATGCCTCGATGGTCAATGCAACTAGATGCTAAAACTCTTTGAAGAGAGTTGATTACATAATTAAGTTACTTCTAATATATGAACTTAACCTTGTTAATTTTTTCAATGGAAGGAAAACCATACAGGAACATATTTAATTTAAACTTAACAGAAGTCATTACATTCTGTTGTTTATTATTGATGCAAGAGTGGGGTCAGAAGATCTCTCAAGAGCTTCTATTTTGTCCCAGCTGCTTGCAAATCAGAATCTTAATCTATCTTTTGGGTTACTTAGTATCATTGTCAGGTCATCAAAACTTAACTACTCTTAGAACTCCACAAATTCTTGTGTTAAAAACCTATTAAGATCTTAATGCATTATTTGGTTTCTGCAAAGGAATTTTTGTTTTTTGTTTGGCAAGGGATTTGATTAATTAGTCATAGGTTGAGAATTAATAGTGCAAAATTAATTTGAGTTTAGTGTGTGTCCTTTTAAAGGATGTAAGTTGTGTCTTTTTAGTGACTTACACAAAGTCTGGTCGGTTATGCTTTGTGTAAATATGAAAAAAAAAATTCACTTAACACGTCAGCGATGTGACTGAAAAAAAAAAAAAAAACTTTTTAAATTTACACAAAATATGACCGATCATACTTTGTGTAAATCAGTTAAAACGACATAAACTTGTTTTTTCCCAATTATTTTGCTGAGCTCAACCACTTTACAATTTAATAAACAAGTATGAAACAATATTAAATAACCCACAGAAACAAAATATTATAAACTATCTGCTCCATCCATCAAATAGTTATATGAAATCTTTAAGCAAAGGGGAGCTATAATGGCAAAAAATCCACCCCCAAACAACCACCATATATTTTATGTGTGGATCTGGCAGAGAAGGTCACAGTTGTCACAAGTCACAACAGATAATTAAACTATGTCTGTAAAAGCCTAAAAGGTGAAGCTCCGATAATTGCTTCCACTTGAGAATCAATAATTTATATTTTTCTTCATTAAAGGGCCTTTCTGTCATAAGCCTCAAAGCCTATATATAGAGAGTGTTTACACAAATGTTTCATTCAACGCTCTCTTCCAGTTCTCTCTCTTACCCACAGCATCTTTCTGCTTTTGTAATTAGCAAGGAAGATAGCTATACATGGGTATTGAGATAGAGCAATGTGTGGAGCTTTCAAAAGTTGCAGTTTCTGAAACTCATGGTGAAGATTCCCCCTACTTTGCTGGGTGGAAAGCTTATGATGAAGACCCCTATCATGAAATAACTAATCCCTCTGGAGTTATACAAATGGGGTTGGCAGAGAATCAAGTATGTTTATATATATGTCTCAGAAAGCAAAACAAGAAAGATCCAAGTTTTCATTCTCAGTGTATTTAATTATTTACCTAATTAATCATTTTTTTTATATTATTGTATAGGTTTCATTTGATTTGCTTGAGAAGTACTTGGAGGAAAACTCAGAGGCTTCCACATGGGGAAAAGGAGCTCCTGGTTTCAGAGAGAATGCTTTATTTCAAGACTATCATGGGCTTAAGTCCTTCAGAACAGCAATGGCAAGCTTCATGGAACAAGTAAGAGGAGGGAGAGCAAAATTTGACCAAGAAAGAGTAGTCCTCACTGCAGGTGCAACTGCAGCCAATGAACTCTTAACCTTCATCCTTGCAAACCCAGGAGATTCTCTACTTGTTCCAACCCCTTACTATCCTGGGTAAGAAGCACTATACTATATATATGTATTTATAATAATAAAAATTTGTTGCTTTTATCACTTATCTATTTATTTTTCAACCCTTTTTTTTTTGTTTTTCTTTCCGATATATGCTAGGCAAAAGTATTTCTGATCCTATTATAGAAATACTTTGTCTGTCACATACACATATTTATCAAGACTCTACATCGAATTCTGGTTTAAAAAAAAAATGAGAATTCGACGTGGAATCCTGATAAATATGTGTCAATGTGATAGATAAATCTTTCGGTCACAGCCGCAGAAAAATAAAACCCTATATGCTATATCCTTTGGTTGAAAGTTCTAAATACAATATATAGACCATTGGTAAAAAAACTTTCAAATAAAATAATAACAATTTTGATTTTTCTTTTCTTTTGCAGATTTGATAGAGATTTAAGGTGGAGAACTGGGGTGAACATAGTTCCAATCCATTGTGAAAGCTCAAACAATTTCCAGATTACTACTGAAGCTTTAGAGGCTGCATACAATAATGCAGAAGCCATGGGAACTAAAGTGAGGGGAGTACTAATCACAAACCCTTCAAACCCATTAGGTGTAACAATTCAACGCTCAGTTTTGGAGGAGATTCTTGACTTTGTGACTCTCAAGAACATCCATCTTGTTTCAGATGAAATCTACTCAGGCTCTGTCTTCTCCTCCTCTGAGTTTATAAGCATAGCAGAAATCCTTGAAGCTCGTGAATACAAAAATGCAGAAAGAGTTCACATTGTTTATAGCCTCTCCAAGGACCTTGGTCTACCAGGTTTCAGAGTTGGCACCATTTATTCATACAATGATAAGGTTGTGACAACAGCTAGAAGGATGTCCAGTTTCACCCTAATATCCTCTCAGACACAGCACCTATTGGCTTCAATGTTATCAGATAACAAGTTCACTGAGAACTACATTAAGACTAATAGAGAGAGATTGAAGAAGAGATATCAAATGATCATTGAAGGTTTGAGAAGTGCTGGGATTGAGTGTTTGAAAGGAAATGCTGGGTTGTTTTGCTGGATGAATCTGAATCCACTGTTGGAGAAGCCAACAAGGGAAGGTGAATTAGAATTTTGGAATGCTATTTTAAATGAAGTGAAGCTCAATATCTCACCAGGGTCTTCTTGCCATTGTTCTGAACCAGGTTGGTTCAGGGTATGCTTTGCAAATATGAGTGAACAGACTCTGGAAATAGCATTGAAAAGAATACGTGACTTCATGGAGAGAATAAAGAAAGACAGAAAGGATATAGAAATATAATTTCTCTCTCCTTTCTCCTTAATCAATTTATCTTCATCATTATTAGTCTTTTATTTTTTTTTTTTTTTTTTTTTTTTAAAATGGTTGTGGCCATTTTGATAAAATTCTTTATTTGGGTGACAGAAAACCCGAAACTCATCTCAGAAAAGCACATACTGTAAAGCTGATTCAATTGAAGTGGATGATCAATCCTTGTTTGCTTGCTTTACTTAAGCAAGTTCCTTAGAAATCCTTTTGTATCATTTAAGTGATGAATTACAATTTATGAAAAAAAAATCTCTATCACTAAAATTATATATGTGAATAATGTTTCTTGTCATTTAAATATGTGAAACCTATGCGCTCTTTTTTTTCTCTCTTTCTCTGGCATGATTTTATATGGGCCCCTCATATTTTATATATGTATGAAATAAAATTATCTCTTGTAACATGAGAAACATTAATTTCATTATATATTAATACTTTGACCTAGTTGTTATTGAATTTTCTTAATATCATTGACTATGACTCGGGAGTTTGAACTTTGAAGTACGTATCACAGCTAGCAAAAGACCAACCCTGTAGCTTTTAGCTTCATGAAAAATTTGGAATCAATAAAATATGAACTCCTCCCTCACTTAACTCACTTTTCAAAGTAGATATTCATTGTCATGCATGCTTATATGGATAATCTCACATGATTAAGGCATAATTAATTTGAGAAGATTATACTTTGCTTTTCTAGTGTGGGCCCTGATTATAATGGTCCACCACGCGATATATATATATATATATATATATATATATATATATATATATATATATATATATATACCGTCCGATTGAGATCACACGACCAGGCTTGATATTGACTATAGAGGTTCCATTTTATTAATGAATAAGTGGCGGCCTCACCACCAAACTTAAAGCTAATGGCTAATGCTGAATATATATCTTATAGCTCATTATATGCACCTGACTCATCTATAGACTATAGTGTCCATTAATAAAATGATTAAGAGCGTTCAAAACATAGTTAAGCATTAGCTTATTAAAAAAAGGGAATATAACTTATTCAACCTTTGTATATCGTCATTACGTACTACTTGTTGAAGCCGGCACACTTGCTTATATAATTAATTAAGGATTTCCTTAATTATTTTAGTAATTGGAGGATGATCATTTGACTTTTGTTAATTAATGATCTATATAGTTTTCAACTAAATCCTAATATACATGTAATGGAGACTGCATTATATTTGCCTTCTAAAGTTATAATCCTATCATATTAATTCAACCATAATTTCACTAAACAATGTTTTGACTTTTTTGTGGAATCAATCGGGTCAACATTTTTCACCAATTAACAAATTAAAAAAGAAAGAGTTGTAGGTAGTTCTCTAGCTGCTGAATAAAAGTTATTTAATGTTGTGTGTAAGAACTCGCACCGTTAATTTAAGAATTTAAATTAATTAAATGTGAATTTAGAAAATAATTTCATAATTGACCCTAATAATTATGAGAAAGCTTAAATAATTATAGTAAGTGATTAATAATGTTGAAAGTCGCTTTTCTGACGAAAAGTGCAGATACTGATTCTGCCTCACGGTATAAATGCGTACCGATGAAGTATCCCGGAAAATTATGAAAAGTATGTATATATCACTAGAATAATATCTAGGACTAGTATAACAAGTTTGGAGTCAAAACAATGAGAACTGACGTCAGAACTGATACCGGCTACGTAAAAGCGCGTACCGGCAAAGTGCTGCAAAAAATAAAATAAAAACATGATAAATCTTAGAAAAATAGCTAGGTTCAGAATCCAAATATTGGGATTAAAATAATAAGCGTAGCTATTAATGCTAATACAATATGATTAAATTTAAAGTCCTTATATGTAGACATAGTGTAAGAACCCGCACCGTTAATTAAGGTATTTAATTAATTAATTATAGAAAAATAGTAAATGATTCTATAATTGACCCTAATAATTATTATGAGGCTTTAATAATTATAGTAAGTGATTAATAATGTTGAAAGTCGCTTTTCGGAAGAAAAGTGCAGATACCGATTCTGTTAGTCGGTATAAATGCGTACCGAAAAAGTATCCCGGAAAATTAAAGTAAGTGCATGATAATTAATAAAATAATTTATAGGACTTGTAAAACGAGTTTCAAGTCCAAATAATGAGAACTGGTGCCAGAAAATGACACTGGCTATGAAACGCGCCTACGGGAAAGGTGCTCAGAAAATATAATAAAAATATGTCAATTCTTGTAAAATTGATTAGGTTAAGAATTCAAAGTTTGGGATTAAAATGTTAAGAGTAGCAATTAAAGCTAATACTGCGTGTTTAAGTGTGAGTTAGCTATTTATACACTTACTAAGGGCACATTGGCCTAGATACCAAATTTCCCTTCGTGAGAGAGGCTGACTAGCTGCTTGAGCACTGTTCCATTGGTCTCCTTCACCTTCTCTTGAGTCAAGTTGGGACCTTTGGCATTGATCCTTCTCTTTTCTTCTTGTAAACACTTGAGAATCATCTTTGTGAGGGTGTGAGGGTGCTTTGCTTGGGGTTTTAGTCGTTGTTTATGGTCAGGGAGTGTGCTGAGTTGGGGTGTGGGTTGAGAGCCACCTTCTTCTTGGTTTGTGAAGCTTCAAGAAGCTACCTTTGTGAAGAAAGAAACTATCTTGTATGCTAGCATTTTCGTGTTCTGTCCTAGTCAGAGGTTGAGGGACTGTTGGTGAGCTCCAAGGGCCTCTTGGTTCTGAGTTTTGAGCCTTGGTATGTTGTACCACCCTTTGATCATGAGTTTTATGCTTAAAAATGGAACCTTGATGCATGTAAAGGTTTAAAGATGATAACTTAATGTTGGGTAATGTCAAACACACCTAGAAATGCCTGTTTAAGTGTTTAAAATCGATAAAGACCCAACCTTGGAAGGATATCTTCACGAAATGCAGTTTTTGCATTCTGTCGTGAAATATCTGGATATCTGCTCGTGTAATATCCGGATATTGGATATCCAGATATGATATCCGGATATGGGATATCCGGATATGGGGATATGGATATCCGGATATTGATATCCGAATATGCACCCGAGGAATATCCGGATATTCAGGGATTTCGTAGAACAGTAGTTGTGCTGTGTGTACAGTAGGCTATTGGGGGTTTGTGCACCCTAGGTTGATGAAGTTGAACTTCTGTATTTAATGAACTAAGTCAGAATCATGTGATTAAGGGCTTTTGGCTTGATGAGAAGCCTTAAGACGTAAAACATAATGGAAAGGCGTTGTCTTAATATTGTATGCTTGCGGTGCATGTTATTGATATATTGTTGGTCCATAACAGATTGTGAATTTGCTGTGTTTGGACTTTGAGCTGTGGACTCTTGGGTTTGGGTGTTAGCTTGCAAGGTAAGCTTTCGTGTCCTCGGTTTAGCCATGTTGTGGTTCCACCATGTCCCTTGGGGGTGTGGTTATATGCATGCTGTGTTACATGCTTTAAATATTTGAAATGCTGTTGAGCTTTATGTGTAATGACTTTTAATATGCATGTGTTGTTTTATCTTGACGGTAAGCCTGAGTATGTGGCGTCATACGATATGTTGATCCGGGGTGAATGCAAGTGGCGTCTTACACTAATTGTGGGTAATAGACGTATACTTATTCCTGCATTTCTCTGGCCAGTAGAATAGAATTGACACACATGACATGATTATCTGCTGCATTGCACTGTTTTAGAAATGATGTTGATGAACTGCATTTAAACTTATATTGCACATGTAAGTGAGCTTGGGGTGGAAGATCCTTGAGGACCCCTTGTCTTACTGAGATTTCTTGTTTAGAGATCTCACCCCACGTTTGGGGAATGTTTATTTCAGGTTCAGGTAGTTTGGTGACTGATGCTTCTGGCGGCAGGAGGCCAGAGCTTAGCTGATTATGATATTTATGCTGTATTGCTGCCATGACTGGATTTGGATGCTGTTTATGTTTTCCGCTATTTATGATTATGTTGTTGTTAAGACTGATGTTGGGCTTGTTGCCTTATTTGAGTGAGCATGGGGATTGTCCATGACACTTTATGTTAGTACTTTTGTATTGGAGTTGTATAACCTGCTAGTTGGTCCGGCCTTCTTGTGGTAGTCCCGTGATTTCTAGAGACACACTTATATTATCTATGTTATGAGGTATTTCAGTTAGCTGTTTTATTGCAATTACATACATGCGATGTTTTATTAATTGATTAATAAACAAGTTGGTAATGTTAATGACATCATAATTGGAAAGAAAAAGATATTCCGCATTTTTAATTAAACGCTGCTTAATACGATAGTATGATAACATGATACGAGGTGTTACACTTGGACACACAACCCTAGGCTGATCTTCTTCAGCCTATACACGAGTTTCTGAAGTTTGGACAGCCCATTGCCACCTTCATCCTCCCTTCCTCTTGTGACTTAAAGAAACCATTTTTCCTCAAGTTTCCTTCACCAAAATGCCTTGGATAGTTGAGAGCAAGCCTTGTGCGCATGTGGTGTCACACCATTTCTGAGTTTCAGCCACTGTTTGGGAAGAGTGAGAGAGCTGACTTCTTGGCTAAGTGAAGAGGGAACCATTTCCTTGGTTGTGGGAGCTCCAAGTAGAGCTTTGTGAAGAAAAGACCAATCTTGAAGGTGCATTTTCGTGTCCTTATGTGGTCTGAACTTTGAGGCTGGTGAGAGAGCTCCAAGAGCACTTGTGGTTCTGTTTTGAAGCCTTTTGGGTAAGCACCATCACCTTTGATCATGATTTTCCTTGTTAAAAGAGGAGTCTTGGCATGTAAAATGAGTTGAATAGGTAACTAACATAAACACTGACCTAAAGGAGTGTAAAAATGCATGCTTTAACGTATATGAGTGTTAAAAGAGGAACTTTGGGAGTGATATCTCGCGAAATGCAGAAACTGCATTCTGTCACGAAATATCCGGATATAATATTCGGATATTGATATACGGATATGATATCCGGAT